CTTTTAATACAGAAAAATACAAAATGATTGTCTGGTTAACTTTAACTTCACATGTCATACCTTCATGATTAAGCTTTCAAGTTATTATCTTCTTTTAATTTCTGGTAAGTAGCACAAGTAAAGGTCTACTTACCTTTATAAAGCTTTGCATCCCAAAGCATTAACCTGCTTATGAGACAGGGATTTTCAGAGCCAGTTTCTTCTCTAAGACATGCTTGGCAAAATATCTGCCTAAAATCACCTATAAATAAAAAGCAAGTAATTTGTGTTTTTATTTTTATTTTATTTTTTAAGAGAATTTTTTTTTAAGAAAATAGAAATTGCTCCTAAGAGACAGGAGGTGTCCCAAATGGGTTGCCCTGATTTTTATTCTTGTGAAATTTCTCCTAAAAGTACATTTCCTACAACATGCAGGAAAAACTAATCCAATTATGTTTGATGTCAAGAATAATTCTGTCAAAATCAAAGAATCAAGAAGCAATAAATGATATTACCAGATATTATACATTCTATCTCATGATATTATGCATTTGAAATATAATACTGAAAATGGATACTTGATGAGAAAGGAAAAGAAGTAAATTTATTTTATACTCAATGATATTTAATTTGTGACCATACAAAACAAAATAGCTTATCAGAAACAAGACCAATAGAATATATACTTACTTGAATAACTCATAATTTTGTTCATCCAGGAACCAAGACGCAAAGCAAATTTCTGATGAGCCATAACTTCAGAGTGTAACACTTCTACATGAAGTGGATGTTGAGAGACATTTTCTGAATGACTCTATAAATGAAAGTAACAATAATAAAATAAAAGAATTTAAAACACCAAAAAAAAAAAAAAGTAGTATGGCATATTTTGCTTTTAGGTAAGTCATCTATTCTATTAAAAAAAAAAAAAATTCACATAACCTAGCCAGTTCTACACCTCTAAGTGCCCCGATACTAATTCTATCTAGGATGTCAAATCACTTCAATAATATGATCCCTCTACTTGTTCTACTTGGTTCTTTTTTTTCTTTTTTAACTTTCTGCAAAGCTTTATTCCTGAGGGGCTCAGTTCTTCTTGGCAACTAACTGCCTTCCTCATGGTGGCCAGCAAGTTGCTCAGCTCTTCACACGTCCTCTTGGCACAGATGTGTGTCCCCATCCTTTTCTTAATGAACCTGAGGGCGTGGTTGTCCTTGGAGACCCTGAGCAGCTCCATGGTGAGCCATAGGGAGTGAAGTCGCATACCTCCCAGATCATGTCCTGCATGAACTTGGTGTGTTTGGTGAGGCGCCTGCAATAGTGGCTGTGCCTCAGTTTGCTCACGTTCTTAGTCACCTTGTGGCCCTTGTTGAGGCCCACAGCCATGGGATAGCAGAGGGGCCATGTCTACTGTTCTTCAATGGCTGCTGTCTACTTGGTTCTTACAATGTACAATTCGGAGTTCCTAAGTCAGAAAATTACCTTTATATCTTCCTTTGCTTCCTGACAAGCAGCATAAGTACCCGCTTTCACGGCCCGACGACCCTAATTGTAGACAAAAATGAAAGGTAGTGCAGTGATAACCACAATCAGTAAGCTGTACCACACAGACCTAACAAACTGTCAAATATTAATCATATATTGAAAAGAGAAATTATTTGGCTGGTGAGACGGCTCAGTGGTCTAAAGCACCTACTTAGAACAAGCTTAGCAAAGCACAGGGACTGCAGTTCAATCCCCCAGCACCACATGCCAGCCAGCCTCGCCCCCTGGTGGGCTGAGCTGGCCACACACACACACACACACACACACACACACACACACACTCAAATAAATAAAAATAAAATATTTTTTAAAAAGAAAAGAAAAATCATTTATTGACTGAAAGTTTGAAGATTATAGGGCCATACCTGGAAGATAGACATAAATGTCAAGCACTTTCTATTTCTACTTATTATTATTAGGAGTAGATGGGTATCACTATGTATTTCAGGATGGTCTTGAACTTACTATGTAGCCAAGGCTGGTCTTGGCCTCTTGTAGATCTTCTTGCCTCAGCCTCCAAGTAATGGAAGTACAGGCAAGTACTATCACACGCAGCCATGGTTAGCACTGTTATGAAGCATCTAAACTTTCTCTACCTCTAAGATTTATACAATTTAGGATGTTACTTTTCCTGCTGAGCAAAAATGCCTGTTCTTTACTTAATATAGTATACTTTGTATTTCTATCAGATAATAACTTGTTTATTACCAAACTTTTCCTATAAATGTTAAATATTTTCATGAATGAATGGATAACTCTTCAATACGTGTTCTATAACATAACTGAAGTACTATATCCTTCATTTAACCTTTATAATAACTCTATAAGGAAGTTATCCCTATTTATTTTTTTAGGGAAGGGTCTACAGGGTGTTCAGGGTCATAGTGATCCGCCTGTTTACAGCCTCCCAAGAGCTGGGATTACAGGCCGCGCCACCATGCCCAGTCTTGATTGTCATCACAGTGCACCCTAAGGGCGGGGCCAGCATGGCAGGCCCAGGGATCGAACCCCTGCTCCTTGTGCCTGCTTGCAGGTGCTTTAATCCACTGAGCTATTTGGCCAGCCCTACTATCCCTATTTTAGGGGCTGAGAAGATGGCTCAGTGGAATAAGTGCTTGCCTGGCAAGCACAGGGGTCTGAGTTCAATCCCTGGTTGTGCAAAAAACCCCAACAAAAACCCTATTTTATAGAGAAGAAAACTAAGTTAATGAGATTTTGGATGACTATCCTTCAAATCAGAAAGTAAATGCTAACCCATAACAGGCAGTCCATTTTCAGAGTCTGTACTTAAAGCTATACTTTAATATTATTTCTTTAGCTTTTAGCATGTATGTATAAGAACTACACAAACATATTTGAACTGTTAATTACACTAGCAGGGTTAACATTACATGGAAAGATAGGCTCAGTGGTACAGCTCTTGCACTGCATACATAGGAAAAATAATGCACAAAATGCCACAGCACAAGATATTTTTAAAAGAACACACAATACAGTCAAGACCTAATTAAAAATAAAAAATGCATATATATATATGTTTAAGACTTAATAAGCTTATATACGTAAATACTAACAATCAACATAAAGCAGTGATTCTCAATATAAATGAGGGTGAGGGGACACACTTTACATGCAGTAGGATAGCTGCTATCAAAACCAGAAAATAGTATGTACGAGCAAGGATATGAAGAGATGAGAATACTTGAAGACTGCCAGAGAAAATATACAGTGGTACAGCTACTATGGAAAAACAGTATGGCAGTCCTTTAAACAATGAAACAGAAGAGACAAGCCAAATGGCTCAGCAGAGGTTCAGGGCTTTGATCCCCAGGCCTGCTGTGCCAGCCCCGCTCCAGGGGCACACTGAGACAGGGATTGAGACTGGGTGTGGTGGCACACGCCTATAATCCCAGCACTTGGGAGGCTGTAAACAGGAGGATCACTACGAGTCCAATCTACGCAGTGAGACCCTGTACTCCCTGTCCTAAATACAAAAAACAAAACACTGAAACAAGTCCCATGTAGTCCAGTGATTCTCTTTCTGCACATATGCACAGAACATCTGAAAACAAGGGCTCAAACAGACATGTACAGCAGTATTATTAGTCGAAAGATGGAAGCAACTTGTGTTCATTTAAGGAAGAACAAAATGTGTTTCAAACATAAAATAATAATTAGTCTTAAAAAAGAAGAAAATCCAGTCATAACACATATTTTTTGAGGTCAGTATCCTAAATGATATAAGCCAGTTGCAAAAGGCTAAATAAGTCAGGATCCAATTTACATAAGATAACTAAAACAAACTCTTAGACCAGTGGGACTGGGGGTAAAGATAAAAAGATTTCAATGGATTCAGAGTTTCAGCTTTATAAAATAAAATACTCTAGCACTATGTTGTACACAGCTGGTACCACTGTTTACTACTCATAAAAAGGTTAACATAGCATATTTTATGTTGTGTGGACTTTATCACCATTAATTTTTTTTAAATGACAAAAAATGGTAAAGTGACCAGTAGGTAACAGATGAACTAGAGAGGAAGTTTTTCAAAATACATGGGCATTTTATTCTCCTGCTCTTTCCATATTTGCAATTCTAATTTATTTGGGCTGACAATTTTTTTGAAAAATTCTTCCTGATTGACTCTAGCTGGTATTCTGTACATGTACACAAATACAGGACAATTCACTTGGGTCCCCTTCTGTCCCTCTCTTGGACAGAAGCTTTCATTCCCCCCAATAAATATATTCCGTTCTTTTGAAAAACAGAAACAAAAATATATCATTCTGGGTTTATAAAACAGGCTAATTACTACACAATCTCATCTAGCCACAAAGTATATTTTCACCTTACTATGATGTACCTCGTGGCCTATTATCTCTTTTGAATGAGCCTATGATCATTTATTAAAAAGTGTTATTGTAATGACCATCATCCGTGGGGTCCTGGGAATCCAAAACAAATCAAACCAACCAGAATATAGGTAGCTGTAGCCTCAGTCTTTCTTATTTTGACTTGAAAGGAGTGTAGGAAACAATGTAACTACCATGTCTTTTGCTTGAAGGGACATGGAGAGAATGTGACAATGTGACTTGCAGACTGTTTACAAGTATTTTACATTTGCCTAGAACTATGGGAACTCTATGCAAAGGGCCATTATTGTTTTATTATTATTGGTAATAAAACCCCACAGAGGTTTTTTTGTTTGTTTGTTTTGCTTTTTTTTTAATGTATTTAGGACAGGGTCTACAGGGTCTCATTACATAGATCAGACTTGTAGTGATTCCCCTGTTTATAGTCCCCAAGCACTGGGACTACAGGTGCACAGCACCACACCCAGTCTCAATCGCCATCTCAGTGCACCCCAGGGGCAAGGCCAGCACAGCAGGCCCAGGATACCCCAAGCCCCTGCATCTGCCTAACCAGGTGCTTTAATCTGCTGAGCTACTTGGCCAGCCCCATACAGAAGTAGGTTCTGAATAAATCTTTCAACTACTGTTTCTATCAGTTACTATTATTTTTATCTTTAAATGCAACCTCCTTTAAAAATCATTGGTTAAATAAATAAAATTATTGGTTAAAATTTTTTTTTAATTTTTGAGTATAAAAAACTCCCTTTTTCAATCAGTCTAAATGATTAGTATACAACAGAATGACCATAGTGACTACTGACTTTAAAAAATATATTTGAACTCAGCCAGGCATGGTGGCTCATACCTGTAATGCCAGCATTCTGAGAGACTTGGCAAAAATTGCAAGTTGAGACTAGACTCAGCAACTTAGCATTTTGGTGAGACTCTCAAACTAAAAAATGAAAGGGATGGAATTGGGGATGTAGTTCAGTTCAAAGGCTCTTGGTTCAATATCTAGCAGTACAAATTAATTAATTAATTAATTAATTAATAAAAATAACAATAAGTTTAAAAATGCCAAAAGGAAAAAAAAGTTGTCTAAACATTACTCAGTAGCTTTTTAAAAACTGTACCAATTAAAAAAAATAACTCCAAAATTCTTTCCAAATTCAAGTGCCTAAAATAAAAATCACTAACACAATAACATTAATCCTGCTATTCTCCAAGTAGGTAGAAGGATAGAACAATGAATAATTTTTGGAAAATTACCTATTCCAGGGTGAGTATTACAAAGAAGTGGGCTGAAGAAAGAAGGAAACAGCAGTGGCTACAGGAATACGACGAAATCTCTTCCAGAACTCACCTCCATTTTATTTGTGGGTTGTTGCAGCATAGTAGGAATTCAGAATAATTCAACAAGCAAGAAAGATAATCTTACCACATTCTGTCATAAGGATGTACTAAAATTCCTCTCCTTAAAGTTACAATTCATGTAATACAGAATGTTCTGCCATCTACAACCGGCCACAAGGACAAATCCTGACTTCAAAGGTACAAAAAAGTTACAATCTCGGCAGTGACCATCTCGCCAAATAAGAGCTAACTAAATTTAAGTCATTTGCCAGGTGCAGTGGCAAATGCCTGCAATCCCAGCATTCTTGGCAGCCAAGACAGGAGGATCCTAAGTTTAGCCCAGCCTGGGCAATTTAGCAACTTAGCAAGACCCTGTCTCACACTAAGAAATAAGAAAAGAGCTGGGAATGTAGCTCAGTGCTAAGGCCTTGGGTTTGATCCTTAATACCACAAAAAAAAAAAAAAAAAAAATTACTTGAAGCTGAATTTTGAAGAAATATGTTCCTCATAAAGGAACAGGTGGTAGCAGGGAAAAAAATAAAATGGGACAAAGACACCATACTGGGAGAGCAGATCCTTACATTCCACACGAAGCCCACAAAGCACACACCCATTCTTTCCCAAGCTAACTCTTCTCTTGAGAAATTGGCTTAGTACATGCACATGTATTTTCTGAGTCTAGGATCACAGTAGCTCAAGAGTAACAGTTTAGGAATACTGTATCTTCAGGTTTACCAAGATGGTTTCTGGCAAAATGTGGATGAGAAAAGAACATCATACATCTTTGTTTTATGTATTTGGTACAGGGTCTCACTATGCAGCTTGGACTCCTAGCGGGCCTCCTGTTTTCAGCCTCCCCAGTGCTGGGATTACAGGTGTCTGCCACCACACCGGTCTCAGTGGCTAGCTCAGTGCACCCAGGGATGGGGCTGGCACAGCATGGGGTGCTGGGGATTGAACCCTGTTCCCTGTGCTTGCCTAAGCAGACACTTAGTCTGCTGAGCCATCTCACAGTCCCTTTATTTTTTTATTTTATTTTATTTTTTCTTTCAGTACCAGACATACATCTTTTATCTTTTTTTTTTTTCTTTTTTTTCAGCAGAACTGGGGATTGAACTCAGACCCTTGCACTTGTCAGGGAAGCACTTATTCTACTGAGCCATCTCCCCAGCCCTAGGCATACATCTTTAAAATGATTTTGAATGACTGTTTCTTTCATTAAAATAATTCTTTGAAGACAGAGAGTAATCTGATTAATCTTCACATTTCCTCTCAGTACCTATAGAAATGTTTAGTTAATTGACTGAGATTATCATAAATGTATTTATCAAAGAGGAGAGGGGAGAGAGAAGAAAATGGAGAAAATATGAGTTTATTACTATGAAACAAACTGGTGAAGAAAATGGTAGAATGCAGACATGAGAAATAAATTACAGGAGGGACTGGGGAGATAGCTCAGTAGAACAAGTGCATGCCTGGCAAGCACAGGGCGCTGAGTTCAATCCCTGGTACTGCAAAAAAAAAAAAAAAGATTTAAATTTCAGGGCTGGGGACATACCTCTGCAGTACAGTGCCTGCCTGGCAAGCACAAGGTCCTGAGTTTGGTTCCTGATATCAAAAACAAAAACAAACTAGTAATAAACCAGAGTTCTAAACTATTTGATAGAGTGCCATCTTAAAAAAAAAATTCTTTATTGGATTTTGTTCTAAAAGAAATTAGTCTGAGTTAATGTTGTGACACATCATGTAATTCCAGCACTCTAGGAAGCTGAGGAGGAGGAACACAAATTCAAGAACAGTCTGGGCAACTTAGCAAGATCTTGACTTGAAATAAAAAATAAAAGTCATGCCAGTCAAAATATGGTTTCTTGGATTGGGAGCATCAAAATCACCTAAGAAGGGCCGGGGAGATGGCTCAGTGGAATAAGTGCTTCCCTGGCAAATGCAAGGGCCTGAGTTCAATCCCCAGTTCAAAAAAAAAAAAAAAAAAAAAAAAAACCTAAGAAATTACTAATTATTAAAGAGATCAGTTGTTCACTGGTATGTTTAGCATATAAAAAGAACAGAGTTTTCTCTTAATTATTCTAAATGAACAAATGAAGGCCCCATACAAAACCTATAAAATGAGAACCTACAATATGAATAAGTTCTCTATAGGAGACACATAAAGTCTGAAGGCTTTTCTAACCAGAATTCTTGTGTACCTGAAATGGGTTACAGGTATGCCAAGATATTTGGCCTTTTGAGTCCTCAAGGTATCGGGCATGCATGGGTTTATGAAACAGTCAATAACAATACATATATGAAAGGGTTGTTCTTAAGAGTAAATTAAATATTACATGCAAAATCAAATATGTCTATATAAAGGTTGGCCAATATTATTAACTGTTCATACTCTTTTTTAGCTTATTTGCCCTTTATTTTTATTTTTTCCATAATTTTATTGAGAAACAAATAGCAATGAGACAGTTTCAAACCAAATTGGTAGGACAGTTTCAATAATGCCCTTTCTTTAAAGATATGCAAGGGCTGGTGATACAGCTCAGTGGACTAAGCACTTGCTTAGCTAAGAGCAGGGACCAGGGTTCAATCTCTGGTACCACATGCTGTGCTGGCCCTGCCCCAGATGCACTAAGCCTAGGATGAAGTCCGGGTGTGGTAGTGAATGCCTGTAATCCCAGCACTAGGGAGGCAGAAATCAGGAGGATCACTATGAGTCTGAGCATAGTGAGACCCTGCTCAAAAAAAAAAAAAAAAAAAAAAAAAAAACTTAAAAAAAATTAAGATATGCAATCTTTTAGTTATTTATTTTTTAATATTGGGAATCGAACTCAGGACCCTGTGTTTTCCAGGAAAGTTCTTTGCTACTGAGCTATATCTCTGGCCCAAGATCTGCAATCTTATAAGACACACATAAAAAATACAAAGAAAGGAAATTAATCATCTATTCTATAGCTAATTTTTTTTTTGGCGGAACTGGGGATTGAATTCAGACCCTTGCGCTTGCCAGGGAAGCGCTTATTCTACTGAGCCATCTTCCTGGCCCCTCTATATTTAATATTAAACCACTTGTTTGAAAAAGAAGTTAAGAAAAAATGGAAAGTTTTGAACTAGAGACATAGCTCAGAAGTAGAGTGCTTACATATCATGAGCTAAGACTTGGGTTCAATTCCCAGCACCAGAAAAAAAAAAGAGGTTTTCAGTTATTGGTATCATGTTTTTCTACTATAATATATTCTTCTCACAGAGAGAGATTAAATTAGTATTCCTTCAGATATGTCTATTGTCTAAAAAAACTAATTTTTGTTTCAGATGAATGTTAAATAAAAGCTAAGTACATTAGAAATAATATAGGGGTGGGTGTGGTGGTACATGCCTATAAACTCAGACTGAGGCAAGAAGATTACCATGAGTTCAAGGACAGCCTGGGCTACACTGTTGAGTTCAACACCAGCTTAAACTATACAACAATAGTATGCTTTATATATAGTTTATATCAAATATAGTATAGTTTATGTCAAAAAAATAAAAACAATGTAAATCACGTTGAAAATTTTAGAAATAATCAACATTTCCTATTTTATTCAGTAAATTATAAGAACAGAAGGGCATGAAGCTGCCATTTTTATTTATTTATTTTTTAAATGTAGTTGGGTGTTGCTGGGTCGCACTATACAGCTCAGACTTGTGATCCTCCTGCTTTCAGCCTCCACAGTGCTGGGATTACAGGTGTACACCACTAAACCCAGACACTGGCTGGCTCAGCCTGCCCTGGGCGTGGAGCTGGTGCGGCATATGGTGCCAGGGATTGAACCACAGTCTCTATGCTTGCCTAAGCAGGCACTTTAGCCTACTGAGCTATCTACCAGCCCAAAGCTGACATTTTTATCTGTCCTATATCAAATATACTCAGTAACTTTCTAATCATTTAGAATAAAAGAAATTAGAAATAGTTACCTAAAACTGTGAAACATACACAAAAGCAAAGTCCTAATCAATCTAATCAAGATGTAAGTAATAAATGGAGGGGGTGGTTACATGTAACACAAAATTAAAAATTTTCCAAGGACTCAGTCAACTCTTGACAGCCAGGAAGCTGATAGAAGATAGCAGCATACTTCAAATGGTGATCACAAACCTCTTTGTCTATGGCAGTGGTATGCAACTGGGCCTCTGCAAGTTCACAGTCTAGAGCTCTCTGTAGACTGTAGATGACATGGTCATAGGAATGGTGTTCATCATTGAAAAGAACACAGTAGTATCTTTCATTTTTCTCCCTGTTTTTTTAAAAAAGATTTGTATTTAGATATCACAAAAAATGGGAAAGTAACACTGTTAATACTGATACAGAATTAAGTGCTGACATAGACTTAAAAGACCCAAGCAAGGTAAGGTAAGGTAAGGTGGCATAAGGCTATAGTCCTAGCTACTAGGGGACCAAGCAGGAGGACTGCTTAAGACTGGGAGCTCTCAGCCAGCCTGGGCAACATAATGAGACTGTATCTCAAACAAACAAACAAACAAACAAACAAAAACAAAAACAAACAAACAAACAAAAAACCCAATCTAAAACAAGTATTACTTTTTCCATGTTTGTTCTCCATTTAAAAAAAATTACTGGGCTGAGGAGCTAGCTCAGTGGTCTAAGCACCTGTCCAGCGAGTGTAAGGACCCAAGTTTGAGTCCTGCTACTGCATGCCATGCTGGCCACACAACCGGAGCGTGCCTTGCCAGCCCTGAAACTAGGTGTGGTGGCACACGCCTGCAATCCCAGCACTTGGGAGGCTGAGATAGAGGATCACTACAAGGCTGAAATGCGCAGCAAGACCTTGTATTAAATAAATTTTTAAAAATTTATTAAAAGATTACCTTCAGAAGTCTCATTTTAGAGACTTAAAGCTTGAGGCACTCAGCTTTCAATGACACAGTGACACATGACCAGATCTTATTAACATTTAGTTGCTATCATATTTTATTTCTTTGGGTTTACCTTCTACTTCAATGATACTAATACAGTATATTTATTTTATTATGATTTATTTGTGGCCATAATGCTAATAAGGAGCATGAGGCACCAAAACTCCAATCTGTGACTAGAGACCAGTGCCACCTGTGCACATAATGACTTTGAGCAACTCTCCTGTTTTTGGCAGCCCACCAGCTCAGATTATGCTTAGCAACGCAAAATTTCTTAAAAAGATTTAAATGACAAACATTGTCATTTATTTGAAATTAAAATATTTGCAGACACAATTCCTCAATACTTTCATTTCTCCAAGAAGTTTACAGACCATAACAGCCAAGACAGTGGTGGTGCATGCCCATAATGAGTTCAAGGCAGCCAGCCATGGCTCCATCATAAGGTCAAGGCCAGCCTGAACTACCTAGCAAGCCCAGGTCTCAAAATAAAGGGGAAAAAAGTCAAAACAACACAGTTAATGTCTCTACGTATTAAAATCATTCTTTCCTATGCAAAGGAAAGAGGAAAACTTTGTAAACCCAAAGAGCAACTGTATTTAGATCTACTGTACTTCCGTGAGATTTCCACTATTACACATGAAGAAAAATTCCCACTTAAAATACATCTTCATATGAGGTCCAGAATTCCATTTTGCATTTGTAGATTAAGAGCAACTGTTACTATCACTGAAAGACTTGTTATTAGAAATTGCTGGGTTTTAACTAAAATCCCTCAAATACAATAACCCTAGAAAAATATTAGCAAAGAATGAAGAAAAAGCCTATTTTTTCATCCTCACCATGAAATTTCATGATGCGGTAAAGAACTAAGGATCTAGGGTAAAGGTAGACATACTGTTCCAAGTCATAGGTTGTTCACAAATGTCTTACAGAACCCTGAAGCTGATCTAGGCCAGGATCAAATGGGGTAGGTTTCTGGTACAGGGATTGGTGTCAGCTAATTTCTTATAAACCTAGAGCAAAACCCCCAAATGTCAGTTTTTCCTGGAAAGTCAAGGATTGCAATAACTTTTCTTTTTACTTAACTTCTATACAGTATCTAGTGATGTAGCTCACATAAATATCTTGAAAGTACTGTACTCTCAAGAGATAAATTCTGTAACATTTTCATAGAAATAGTTCTCCAATACTTGCTTTGCAATATAAATTACCATCACTTAATCCTGTCCCCACCTTATTCGTAGTTCACAAGGCAGTTGTTTTTCCTCTTCCCATATAGTCATTTCTACAATGTATCTTATTACTGAAGGAAATATTTTCCTGGCTTGAGCAATTGCCTCTTCATTCAAAGGACAGTGTGAATTCTGTAAGAAAGTAGAGAAAAAAATAATGAAATTGTATATGAATAGATGGATGAAGAAGATAATATTATTGATTTAAATTTTTGAAGTAAGGTCTTGCATTGTTCCCCAGACCTGAACTCATAATCTTCCTCTTCAGCCTCCTCAACAGCTAGCATTATAGTTACATGTTCCCATGTCCAGCAAAATAATCACTTTCATGAGTTTATTACATCTTCTAGGGATGAATTCAGGTTGAACTCAGGAGCTGATATATCAACACTGACAATGTATCAACATTGTTTAGTTTAACCTCTTATAGCCAAATTAGTGTTACAGATCAAAGAGAGGAACAGAGGTAGAACCACGGAAAATAGATAAAGATAATTTATCTTTCACAAGTAGATCAACCAGACAAAAACTCAACAAAGAAACATCAAAATTAATCTATGCTATAAAACAACTGGATTTAACAAACACCTCTTTTCTGGCCTCCCATTTACTATATATTCTTTCTTTACTTTGCAACCCCCACATACCTCTGTCTCTTGGCTCTTCCCTCATATCTTTTTATTTTTCTTTTCCTTTCTATCTTTCTCTCTCTTTCATATACATATTACTAGGATTTACCTGACTACCACTAAGGTTTAATTTTTTTCAGTGTACTGTATTTTAATACTCTCCCTCCCCTTTCATGGTGAAATAGAAAACAAAGTAATTGCCAGCTCAGATTGCTATATAACCCTGCAAGTCTGTTCCTTAAAACTGAAGTAGAAATAAAGACCCACCATGCAGTATAAAGCATAGAAATAAATGAGCAATAGGCCAGCATTACAGAAAATAAAGGGAATCCTAAATACAAAATAAGAAGACAATAACAAACACGAGACCAAGGGAAAGAATAAATCTCACTAGGAAAATAGATAAATAAATGAAAAAAAATCAAATATGAGAACACCAAAATGACAAGAATTATTATACATCTTTCAACAATAACACAATGTAAATGACCTTAATTCTCAAATTCAAAGACAAACTGAAGAAAGCTTTGTGGGCTGCTGAAAAGACTGTTATTAAAAATAAAAAAGACTGTGTTATTGGATGAAACACAGCAGGTGTTTGTTAAATCCAGTTGTTTTATAGCATAGGCTAATTTTGATATTTGTTGAGCTTTGGTCTAGTTGACCTACTTGTGAAAGCAGGATGATTCTGGGGACCCCAAACTGCCTGTATGAGGTGGATGGTGAAGGAAGAAGAAAAATCAGAAACAAATTTAGAAATCCATAGAAGAGGGTGGCTGGGAGGTCAGTGCCTCAGGATGCACAAAGACCAAGACTCTGGATTGAGCCAGCTGAGGTAGAAGGCCTGTTGTGAGTTCGAGACCAGCTTGGGCTATAAAGTGAGTCAAGACCAGCCTGAACTGCATAGTGAGACCCTGTCTCAAAAAGAAAACCCTAAAATACAAAAAACAAAACAAAAAACTGTATTAAAAGGGCTCTTTGAGCAAGACAATGTATTGGCAGAGTTAAAACTAGATATAGTACTTCAAATAATGAATACCTAATAAACTTTTTAACCAAAGAGGTAGCAAATAAATATTTTGCAAATGAAGGAGTAATCATTTGGGATCATGCAAATAAATGAATAAGTGAAAAGCATGGCAATCTAAAAATAGTGCTGAAGCCTGGCGTGATGGTGTACACCTGTAATCCTAACATAAGGAAGCTAGGGCAGGAGGAAGCCAGCCCATGCTACACAGTGAATTCAAGGGCAGCCTGAATTACAGAACAAGACCTTGTATCAAAACAACTACCACCACAAATAATAAATAAAAAAGTGCTGAATGAAACAGGAAAACCTTAATCCAATAGGTGAGTGGGTAATGGCTAAATGAACATTTTCTGTTCTATTTTTATTTTTGCAAGTTTTTGTAGACTTGATTTTATTTCCAAATCCAAGATTTTAAAACATATATTGATGCTACAATCTAGAGTAGATGTGCAATACCCCATATTGGGATTCTGTCTCCACATCTATAAAACAATGCTAAGACCCTTATCTCATAAAGTAAAATAAGGATAAAATAATACAATGCATGTGAAAGAAGTTTACTGTCAAACATTATATAAAAAGCTGAATACAGTATGCATCAATTGTCCTATCTGCTGGGAAGGCTGAGGAAGGAGGATCTCTTGAGCCCTGGGGTTCAGGGCCAGTTGGGGACTTTCTCTTTCTCTCTTTGGCTGTTTTGTTCTGTTTTTAGACTCAAATTTTTGATCTTCCAGCCATAGCCTCCCAGAATACTAGGATTACAGACAGGCACCAGCACACCGGACCTGACTGTCTGGTAGTGTCTTCTTTCTTTCTTTTTTTTTCTCCTGTATTTAGGGCAGGGTCTACAGAGTCTACAGGGTCTTACTACATAGATCAGACTCGTAGTGATTCCCCTATTTTCAGCCTTCCAAGCACTGGGATTATAGGCGTGCACCACCACATCCAATCTCAATCGTGCCTAGCCGGCACGGCACACCAAGTATCAAACCCCAGCCCCGGATAGAATCATGTCCCATAGGGTGCAGGAGAAGTCCATTTGTAGAGTATGCTGATGGAAATATTTTGCTGCTGTATACAAAAGAATAAGTGAAATAATTGAATTGATTTTGTATACCTCTTTTTCTCCTGTGTTTAATTGTTTGCCCTATTTGGTAGGTTCTTTCCATTCTCATTCATGGAGTTGTGGTCATTTTGATCTCTCTAGAATATCTTTTAGTAGTCTGTGTAGGGTTGGCTTTGTCATCATGAAATTCTTCAGTTGTTCTTTGTCATGGAAGTATTTCACTTCTCCATTATACTTGAAAGAGAGTTTTGCAGGTTGGAATTTGTTTTCTTGCAAGACTTGAAGTACTTTGCTCCATGCTCTTCTTGACTTGATGGTTTGTGAAGTATTGACTCCTTTCTCATTGATGCCTATTAGTCTTACATTGTTCATTTTTGCATTGTCTTGCAGACACTGAATTATTTTTTCCTGTGTCCTATTTTTTTCCCCCCGGTACCGGTGATTGAACTCAGAACCCTGCACTTGCCAGGCAAGCACTTATTCTTCTGAGCTATCTCCCTGGCCCCTGCATCCTAGTTATTTTTAAGAGATCTTATCTTTTCACTAGCTGCAACAGTGTCTTGAAGGTCTGAAAGTCTATTTTCACTTTCATTTAAACGGTTTTGCCAGCTTGTGATTTTTAATTTCCTGTATAGCACTTTGAATCGGCTTCATGCATTCTATTTCTTTCCTATATTGCTTATTCAAGGATTCCATCATTTTTCTATTCTTCTCTATTTTTTATTAGTGTCTTGTTTAGAAGCACTTAGTACTTCTTTTATTATAGTTATCATTTCTTTTTTTACTTCAGAAATTATTTCTGATCTGATTTTCTCTATACATTTCTGCAGTTGTTTCTTTACTTCCGACACTATTATTTCAGAGATTGTAGGTGTGTGATTTCTAATTTCTTCCATGCTATTCTCTCCTGCATTTGTTCTGGGTGGGTTCAGGGCCTGAGAATGCATTTTGCTCTTTCTCTTTGTCATTTTGTATAGCACTGTCTTCTGACATTTGGTGTAGAGCTTTGGTAGTTATTACCTTAGCACCAGGTCCAGATCTACCAAGTTCAAACTCCTCCAGGTGGGTGTAGCTTGGGTCTGGCTGCTGTGCTCCACCTCTTCCTACTGCAGCCCTTAGAGGTGAACCCTCTGTGCCACTCTGACAAGATGTTCTGCTCCTGGATTCGCTGGGTGGGTCTTGCCTCTAGCCTCTTTGCAAGGAGTTCTGCTGCAGGGTTCCACACTGGGCCTGTCTGATGAAGTTCTACTCACAAACCTGGCTCAAATGAAGATCTGGCAGGGACTGGGCTCTGGGTTGAATCAGGATCACGTGGGCACCAAGCGGTCTCACTCACGCTGGGCCTGGGCAGAATGAGGATCTGGCGGACCCCAGGTGGTCCCACTCACACGCAGGCCCTTGGTAGAATGAGGATCTGGCAGGCCCCAGGTGGTCCCACTCACACGCTGGGCCTGGGCTCTGGGTAGAATGAGGATCTGGTGGTCCAGTGTGGTCCCACTCACACGCCAGGCCTGGGTCGAATGAGGATCCAGCGGGCCTCATTCACACTGGGCCTGGGTTCTGGGTGGAATCGGATAGTGTTTTTTGGAACACAAAAGTCTAAGTTCTTTTTTAATTTTAATTTATTTGCATTTATTTTATGCTTAATTTATTCCTGTGCTATAAGTTTTTGTTTCATCAGTTTCTTCTGGGATATCTTTTTCTTTTGTGCAGGTTTACCCGCTGGTTTAGAAACAATTTGTTCCTTTTCAGTAAGGATCATCTCACTATGGCAGGCAGAGCTCAAGTATGGGGTTAATCGGGCCATGAGCTCTGTAAGTACAGTGGAGCGCATCTTGGGTGCTTTGTTCACCTGGATATGTTCAATAACCAGAGAATCTACATCTAAATCCTTAAGTTCAGCATTACTCTCTGTATTTTTAAGCATGTGCTGCAAAAATTCAGCCCTCTTTTTTTTTGGCCTGGGCACACCTACCAACTCCACCATTGTAATGCTGGAATGGCACACATTACTTCTTTAATGTGACATCCTTCAGATACTTGGTGGCCTTTTGGATATCATACCCTTGGTGGCCTGGGAAGTTTCACATGTGTTTTTAAAGTGAATGCGAAAATTTGAGTTTCCTGATTTGCATGATTTTGTGGGGTTTTCTGGCTTCAGAGAGTAGCAAATCATTTTCACAGGTCACCTCAGGCCGCTCACAGGAAGAGTAAACTTTAAGTCCTAATTAAATCTAATTTACCTTTTTTTTGTAATCCCAGAACTAAGGAGGTTGAGGCAGGAGGATTGCCATGAGATTGAGACCAGCCTGGACTACATAGTGAGTTCAAGACCAGCCTGAACTACATGGCAAGATCCTGTCTCAAAACAAAGACTAAAAAATACCTTGAATATGCTCTGAAGGCA